TCAAGAGATCGAGACCATCCTGGTCAACATGGTGAAACCCCGTCTCTGCTAAAAATACAAAAAATTAGCTGGGCATGGTGGCGCGTGCCTGTAATCCCAGCTACTCAGGAGGCTGCGGCAGGAGAATTGCCTGAACCCAGGAGGCGGAGGTTGCGGTGAGCCGAGATCGCGCCATTGCACTCCAGCCTGGGTAACATGAGCGAAACTCCGTCTCAAAAAAAAAAAAGTTTATTTAATCTGCAGGTTTATAAAGCACTTTACAGTTTACAAAGCCTGCTACAGACATTGTCTCATTAATCTTCTTGCAACTACCCGGTGAAGTAGGTATTAGTATCCCTGCTTCATAGGTGAGGAAACAGAAACACAGAGAAGTTTCACTTATCTGTGGTTTATAGGGTGGACACTGTTGACAGTTCCTGCCAGGGATCCTCAGGGACTGACTCTGGAGGACCTAGAATGTGTGCATAGAGATCCTGGGAGTTCCTGCCTTGAGGTGGCAGAGGTGGGGGGTTTGTTAACCAAGAGTGGAGACTGGTTTGGGACAGCTTGGGATTTTTCTCAATCTGTATTTGAGGAGCATCCTGAATTTGGATCCTTTTCAAAGGGAAAGTTCACCAGGAAACTGTCTGCCTAGGTTTCCTCACACGGGGAGTAAACTCTGGACCTTGTTTGAGCTTGCAGACCTGAGACTCCCTCATGTGTCCTTCCCTCTAGGTCCTGTGCCTCATCACCGCCCCTGTCACCATGATTCTGTCCAGCCAGCAGGATGCAGCCTTTGCCTTTGCTTCTCTTGCCATAGTTTTCTCCTCCTATATTACTCTTGTTGTGCTCTTTGTGCCCAAGGTGAGGTTCCGGCTTTTCTCCCATCCTCTCTAGTCTCATGTTCCCTCCATTCCTCCTTCCCATAGTACTTAGTTCCTCTGCCCTTCTGTTCACTCCTTTCCTCTCACTCCTCCCCTTGTGTTGGGCCCAACTTTCTTATCAGTATTCCTTGTACCTCCAACTTTCTCTGCTGGGCCACCCCATGGCCAAACATTTGCCCCCAGATGCGCAGGCTGATCACCCGAGGGGAATGGCAGTCAGAGGCTCAGGACACCATGAAGACAGGGTCATCGACCAACAACAACGAGGAGGAGAAGTCCCGGCTGTTGGAGAAGGAGAACCGTGAACTGGAAAAGATCATTGCTGAGGTGCGGGGGAGAGGGGATGGCAGCATAGAGTGGCGGGTCCAGGAGGCTTGTGTCTTAGGTAGGGTTGTCTGAAGCCAAGCCTGCGATACAGGGTCAGATGTTCTTGCTTCATGGAGGGAGGGTCCTAGGAGACAACCTGTAAGGAGTGAGTGGGGCAGGATAGGGGAGAGGAAAGGGCTGAGCAATATTCTATCTCAGGTAAAATCCAGTGTTGGCCTGGCAGGTGGTGGGGCTCTGGAGTGGGAGCTATGTGGTTGACTCGGCCCCCTTAAGGCAGATGGATGGTTGTTGGCTGTGGGTGGCAACTGGGGAGAGGCAGCTGTGAGCCTCTAGCAGTCAACACTCACAGCAGCTGGGTGTCCCACGCAGCCCCAGCATAAAGGACCTGGGCAGGCATTCACTATGCCCCAGGCTGTCTTTAGGGGCTGGTGCAATGCCAAAGAGAGGGATGTTCCAACTGGGTTGACACAAATCTCTGTGATTTATTGGAAGCTGTGTGCACTGACTTTTCTCTCCTTCCCCACTTTTTCCTTTTGTTTTTAAATTCTGTTTCCCTAATCTCTTTTTTTCTATTGGTATCCCCATTATATTATCTGGCCTTTCTTGTTCTGTTTTGATTTCTCCTTTTAATTTCTTCTGTCCACTTACCCTATGCCCTCCCCTGACATTTTTCCGTGACCTTCCTCTCTTTCCCTCCTCCACACCCTTCATGACCTCTTCCACTCTCCCAATTGTGCTTCTTCCTCCAGAAAGAGGAGCGTGTCTCTGAACTGCGCCATCAACTCCAGTCTCGGCAGCAGCTCCGCTCCCGGCGCCACCCACCGACACCCCCAGACCCCTCTGGGGGCTTGCCCAGGGGACCCCCTGAGCCCCCTGACCGGCTTAGCTGTGATGGTAGTCGAGTGCATTTGCTTTATAAGTGAGGGCAGGGTGAGGGAGGACAGGCCAGTAGGGGGAGGGAAAGGGAGAGGGAAAGGGCAGGGGACTCAGGAAGCAGGGGGTCCCCATCCCCAGCAAGGAAGAACATGCTATCCAATCTCATCTCTTGTAAATACATGTCCCTCTGTGAGTCCTGGGCTGATTTGGGTCTCTCATACCTCTGGGAAACAGACCTTTTTCTCTCTTACTGCTTCATGTAATTTTGTATCACCTCTTCACCATTAAGTTTGTACCTGGCTTGAAGCTGCTCACGTGCTGCCTCCTCAGCAGCCTCACTGCATCTTTCTCTTCACATGCAACACCCTCTTCTAGTTACCACGGCAACCCCTGCAGCTCCTCTGCCTTTGTGCTCTGTTCTTGTTCAGCAGGGGTCTCCCCACAAGTGCTCTTTCCACCCCAAAGGGGCCTCTCCTTTTCTCCACTGTCATAATCTCTTTTCATCTTACTTGCCATTCCACACTTTCCCGTGTTTGGCTCCCCGTGAATTTTGCTTCCTTTGGGGGCTCATTCTTTTCACCAAGGCTCACATGCTCCTTGCCTCTGCTCTTTGTGCACTCAACGCTCAACACTCATGCATCCTCCCCTCTCCTGCGTGTGCCTACTGAACATGCTCATGTGCACGCGTGCTTTTCCCATGTGCTTTCTTCATGTTCAGTCACATGTGCATTCACAGCTACGTGTGCCGCTCTCATGGTCATGGGTCTGCCTTTGAGTGTGTTTGGGTAGGCATGTGCAATTTGTCTAGCATGCTATCATGCCTTTCCTATTTGCACACATTTCCCTGTGTACCCTCCACGTACCTTGTGTACCTTCTTCTCTTAAATCATGGTATTCTTCCAACAGAGCCATATGCACCCTACCCTGCACATTGTATCCCCTCTCCTCATTGCAGCCTCTCTGTTTCTGCTCCGACTTCCCCCATTTCCATTGTATTCATGTACTACCCTCACTCACAATCAACTTCTCCCAAGACTGCTCCCTTTTGTTATGTGTTTTTTTTTGTTTTTTTTTTTTTTTGAGGGAAATTAAGGAAAAAGAAATGGGGGCAGGTTTGGAGAGCTGCTTCCAGTGGATAGTTGAGAATCCTGACCAAAGGAAGGCACCCTTGACTGTTGGGATAGACAGATGGACCTATGGGGCGGGAGGTGGCGTCCCTTTCACACTGTGGTGTCTCTTGGGGAAGAATCTTCCCGAATCTCAATAAACCAGTGAACAGTGTGACTCGGCACCTCGCACTCTTCCTGTGAACAGAATGGGCTTCAATCCAAGGAGGGAGGCTCAGAGGACTTCAAGGTCATGAAAGGCATTGAAGCGGACAGTGAAAAGAGGTGTTTTATTGATCCATTGAAGGCTTAGCAGAATGAAGCAGGACGTGATTAAGTCTGAGATTAGTGAGTGAGAACACTGATGGTTAAAAGTGTGGGTTCTGGAGTCAGGCTGCCAGGGCATCATATCCAACCACGTGCAAAAAAGTTTCTTAGTCTCTACTCTCCAAGTCCTCATTTATGAAAATGAGAATGGATTACACCCGTAATCCCAGCACTTTGGGAGGCCGAGGTGGACGGATCACAGGGTCAGGAGTTCAAGACTAGCCTGACCAATATGGTGAAACCCCGTCTCCACTAAAAATACAAAAATTAGCTGAGTGTGGTGGTGTGTGCCTGTAGTCCCAGCTACTTGGGAGGCTGAGGCAGGAGAATTGCTTGAACCTGGGAGGCAGAGGTTACAGTGAGCCAAGATCGCGATACTGCACTGCAACCCCGGGTGACAGAGCAACACTCTGTCTCCCCAAAAAAAAAAAAAAAAGAAAAAGAAAATGAGAATAACAATAATAATACATTCCTCCATAGGGTGGGTACAAAGACTAGATAAACTGTGCATTCAGGTGCCTAGGGTGGCTCTTGGACCATGGTGTATGTGGCGTGAATGTTAGCCTCTGTCCCTGCTGTTTAATGAGCTCCTTGACTGTAGTGGGCATGTATTGGTAGTCTGGAGCAAGTGCCTGAGCAGATGTGAGGACGCTCCTCCCCAGGAACTGAGAACAATGAAAGAATGGTGACTGCTAGACAGTAATGGATGAGATGGCTACTGAGTGCTTCCACCCTTAAACAGCTTTGTTTAGGAACTCTGAGCATCTTGGAAATAATTTGCTATCAAAATGAAGAAAAATTTTTGAATGAACAAGGGCAAAAACACTTGCCTGAGACTTAAAAAAAATTTTGTGTCCTCTAGGAGAAGTGCTTTTCTGAAGCTCAGCTTTTCTCTTTTACTTTGGCACTGATTTTTAAAGTGATTCTCAGGTTTTTGTAAAAGAACTGAGAGTTGGATGGGCCCTGTCAGTCATTGACTATTAAGAACCAATTTCTGAACTTCCACTAGAGCAAGGGCTGGTTGAATCTTAGACCAGTACTTGAAAAACATTCCACTGTGATTATCCATCTTGGACCAGTTGGACTTAATTTGAGTCTCTCTTCTTCCCACAGTGGAATATTCTCTAAGAAAAGAGAAGACGCCTATGGAGTAGATAAGCCTGCAGTGTGGAAAATGAATAGTTGGCATCAGAAACAGCAGCAGGAGGCCGGGCATGGTGGCTCACGCCTGTAATCCCAGCCCTTTGGGAGGCCGAGGTGGGCGGATTACTTGAGGTCAGGAGTTCGACATCAGCCTGGCTAACAGCAAAACCCTGTTTTTACTAAAAATATAAAAATGAGCCGGGTATAGTGGTGGGTACCTGTAATCCCAGCTACTCAGGAGGCTGAGGCAGTGAGAATCGCTTGAACCTGTAGGTGGAGGTTGCAGTGAGCCGACGTTGTGCCATTAAACTCCAGCCTGGGTGACAGAGCAACACTGTCACTCTGGGTGTGGCGGTGGGCACCTGTAGTCTCAGTTACTCAGCAGGCTGGGGCAGAGAATTGCTTGAACTCAGGAGGTGGAGGTTGTAGTGAACCAAGATTGTACCATTGCACTCCAGGCTGGGTGACAGCAAGACTGTCTCAAAAAAAAAACAAAAAACAAAAAACCAGTAGCAGAAGCTATAGAGCAGACCTGGGTAGAACCTAAAAGACCCAAATTATCATCTCAAACTTGTATTGCACTTAGGTGGGCTGTAAATCATAAACAAAGGATGAAAAGTTCTACAATGGCCAAGCATGAGCCAGTTACTCTGTTAGCAGGAGTCAAGCCAAATGGTGGGACTAGCAGAGTGCCCAGGGCAAAGGGGTGGGAAGGAGTGAGTTTGAGGATATTATAAAGGAACTTAGAAGAGAACTTGCAAGATTTTTACTGACCAAATTTAAAGCATGACTGCGCACTGTTTTTCATACAGGCCTACTAATAAGAAAAACAATTTTGAGATAACTACTTGTTTGAGTTCATAGTTAATGTTCCTGCTGATTAAGATCAGTTGCAGCTGGACACATTGGCTCATACCTGTAATCTCAGCACTCTGGGAGGCCAAGGCGGGCGGATCACCTGAGGTCGAGAGTTGAGGCCAGTTTGACCAATATGGAGAAACCCTGTCTCTACTTAAAATAAAAATTAGCTGGATGTGGTTGGTGCATGCCTGTAATCCCAGCTACCGAGGAGGCTGAGGTAGGAGAATCGCTTGAACCTGGGAGGCAGAGGTTGTGGTGAGCCAAGATTGCACCATTGCACTCCAGCCTGGGCAACAAGAGTGAAACTCTGTCTCAAAAAAAAAAAAAAAAAAATCAGTTGCAAATGTTTATCTGTCAATGCTTATCTACAATGTGACTTCATGTATTTCATTTCTGAAAGTGTCTTTTCAGGCAGAAAGGTGCTATTGATTAGTGCTAATACTAATTAGTGTATTAATTATATATAATTAATACATTATGTATAATTAATATATAATAAATTATAATTATATAATTAATATGTAATTGTACCCCAAGTGGTGCAAAGGGGATATGTTGCCAGGTGAAGAGGTCACCACTTGGTAGTTCTGGGAGGACTTGCTTCCTGGGAACTGTGAGGCAGGCTTTGCATTTCCAGCCCTTCCTTAGAGTAGGGTTCAGATCATTTTCTAACTTTGGAATGTCCTGGAATGTAGACTGCCTGCAGGCTTCCGTATCCCCTGCATTTCTCTGACTTAGCCTGTTGCCTCCCTGCCCTCCTGTTGGTTGTCTACCAATAGAAGCACTTTGTGCGCACTTGGCTGCTGTGTTAGTTTTGTTATCTTCAATCCAACAAGCGTTGATGGTGAGTTGCTATGGCAGGTGCTTTCCTTGGTACTGGGGCTAAGTGGTGAGTAAGACAGCTTTTAAACGTTGTACATTCTCGACATGGGAAGATGATCAGTGAGCAGAAAAGCAAATGAGATCACTTAAGAGAGCAGCCAGGAGTGTTGGGCATCTCACAGCCATTAGCTCTGGTGCACAGGACAACTCTAAAGGTGAGGGAGTTGTGTGCTCACCTTCTGGGGCCACACAGCTTCTAAGGAGCAAAGCCAGCATTCAAACTGCATATGTTATCTATTGCCACAAAACCTGTTACCCTAAAAGGCTTCAGACAACAATAATTATTATCTATCATGCTTTCTAAGTTAGAAATGCAGATAGAGCACAGTGGAATGGTTCACCCTGCTCGACAGCATCTGGAAGATCTGAAGTCTGGGGACTGGTGTTGTCCGAAGGGTCCTTCACTCAGGGTCTAAAGGGGGTGTTGGATGTCAGCAGAGACTTCAGCAAGGGTATCAGCTGAAACTCCTACATATGGCATCATGTGGCCTGGGATTCCTTATGACCTAGTGATAGTTTCAAAGGCAAGTGGAGGCAGTTGTAGAGAGCCAGCCAGCTTTAAACTATATATATATATATATATATTTTTTTTTTTTTTCCTGACAAAGCCTTGAAAGCCACGTAGCGTCACTTCTGAGATATTCCACTGATCCAAGCAGTCACAAGGCCATGCCTGGATTCAGGAGAGCAAACACTTTACCTCTTGGTGGAATGAGCTTAAGTCACACTAAAAGAACATGTGGAACGGGACAAATGCCTGTTGCAGGCTGCTTTGATAAAAACAATCTGCTGCATCTGGTCTTCCTGCTGCAAAGCCAGTGTTCACTTTACCTTACCACGTTCTTGTTCCTCCCTCTGAGCTGAGCACCCTAGTCTTGTATATTTGCTGTCATGCAGTCTCTTAACCAGGCCCTGGATTCCTCTGGATGCTTTGGGGCCAGCTGTGATCTCACCCCAGCAGCAAATGGAAAGTGTTGAAAATGGTCCTGCCAATTGCTCCTCCCATAGTCCTCGGTAATTTTAGGATGCCCTGGATAGGCAACATTTTGTGTATACACTCAGGGTTTTGAAGCAGAGAAATCTGATCTTGCCCTTGAGGAATTCTGTGGTCTTGCCCTATCACTTGACATGAAGCTACCATAAGGTAGGCTTCATGTTAAGGGAGGCTGTCACTTGAAGGCAGGTGGAAAGGTGCTTTTAGCCACCTTATGGTGGTTTCATGACAAGTGACAGCTTCCTTCAAATGGTATGCTACTCAAAATACTTAACAATCAATATGGCATCCACTTACATGGCTCCCTGGAACGTGGAAGGACATGCTGGAGACTCTCCTGGAAGGTGAGTTCAGCACAGCGGCAGCTGTGGTAGGGACACGTACTGAGGCCTGTGGAGTGCTTTCCTCAGGTCTGCATAGGGAGTGTAGGAAAGAAAATCCTTTTCCTCTGCCTGTTTTAGGTTCTCCAGCTGTGGCTGTATAAATTAGAGTGGCATAAGACAGATTAATGAGAGAAAAACAAATAGAAGTTTATTAACAATTGCTTTATGCATGTACACATGGGAATACACAGTGGTGAACAATGCGTTAGAATTTGGGCTCATGGCTGGGCATGGCAACTCATGCCTATAATCCCAGCACTTTGGGAGGCCAAAGTGGGTGGATCACCTGAGGTCAGGAGTTTGACACCAGCCTGGGCAACATGGTGAAACCCTGTCTCTACTAAAAATACAAAAATTAGCTGTGCATGGTGGCAGGTGCCTGTAATCCCAGCTACTTGTGAGGCTGAGGCAGGAGAATCGCTTGAACCCAGGAGACAGAGGTTGCAGTGAGCCAAGATCTCGCCTCTGCATTCCAGTCTGAGTGGCAGAGGAGACTCCATCTCAATAATAATAATAATAATAATAAACAATTTGGAGCTTATACAGTTGCCCCTAGAACAACTCAGGGCTAAGGGTTGCTGACCT